CATGGATTTCGAGGTGTGTTTAGGATCATTATCCATTTGTAGAAGCCATCCTCTCTTTAACTTCAGCTTTTTCACAGATGGCATCAAGTTACCATCCAAAATTTGCTGAAATTTTATTGAATCCATTTTTCCTTCTACTCGTGAGATGTTCCCTGTGCAACTGGCTGCAACACAACCCCAAAGCATGATTGATCCAACCCCATGCTTAACAGTTGGACAGAGGTTCTTTTCATTAAATTCTGTGCCCCTTCTTCTCCAAACGTACCTTTGCTCATTCCGGCCAAAAAGTTCAATTTTAACCTCATCGGTCCACAGAACTTGTTTCCAAAATGCATCAGGCTTGTCTATATGTTCATTTGCAGAGTTCAAACGATGATTTTTGTGGTGAGGACGAAGAAGAGGTTTTCTTCTGATGACTCTTCCATGAAGACCATATTTGTACAAGTATCTCTTTATAGTGGAATAGTGTACCACAACTCCAGTGTCTGCCAGATCTTTCTGGAGGGATCGTGCAGTCAAACGTGGGTTTTGAATTGTTTTTCTCACAATCCTGCGAACTGTTCTGTCTGATATTTTTCTTGGTCTTCCAGATCTTGCTTTAACTTCCACTGTTCCTGGTGACTGCCATTTCTTAATTACATTCCAAACAGAGGATATTGACATCTGAAAACGCTTTGCTATCTTCTTATAGCTTTCTCCAGCTTTGTGAGCGTCAACTATTTTCAGTTTCAGTTTTCTAGACAACTGCTTAGAAGAACCCATGGTGCTGATTGTTGGGGCAAGGTCAGATGAGTCTGAGCATTTAAAACCTTTGAGCTTGACATCACCTGGTCTTCCCAGACGATGATTGAGAACAATCCATGACACTGGCAGGTCTCAGCTTTGCAAAGGGGGCAGTGCATGCTATAAATTCTGCAGGGTGCCCATACTTTTGCAGACGCCATTTTTTTGTTTTCTGTTATTTTGAAAGTGTAAATGATGGAAACAAAATCTAACTTTTGTTGACATATTATAAGAATGTCTAATCTGTAATTTGATGCCTTTTGGAGATTTTTCCATCTTTCCTTGGCTTCTTTATGCACGTTAATACAAATTTTTAGCTGGGGTGCCCAAACTTTCGATCCCCACTGTACATATATATATATATATATATATACACACACACAGTATATACTGACAGTCTTGTGCTGCTCCTAGAGGAGTTTAGTGTTTTGACTGTAAAAGCAAATAATGTCATCCTATGTGTCCATGCAAATTAGGTTGTTTAGAGGCATATTTTAAGCTTAGCGTTTAGAGGCAGAAAAAAAACCCTTCTGTTGTGTGTTTTTGAGTGCAGTTTTCTGGCAGACAAAAATGCTACATGCTCTTAAACGCTGGTACAAAAACCCTCAAAAGTAGCGTTTTTTTTCCTGCCAAAAGCACTGGCGTTTTTATAAGCCAGTGTACATGGACCCTTAAAATGTGTTTTAGGAAGGCAGGCATTGCCTTGTTCTATATAACAATTCTTATACAACTTCTTCTTCCTCTTACTGTTTTTACCTACACTGATAACTCCTTGATTACTCTAGATACTCCTTCCCTTTATCATCACTTATTCTCCGTACCCTTATCTCTTAAAGTTTTAAAAAATGTATGAACTACTTCATTACAGCCAGTGCAAAGTACTCCCAGGTGTGCATCATGGTCGTAAAGATTGTGGATTTATTGCCAGTCTCCAGCTTCCAAATTAAGCTTTATATTTTCAAAATGCAAACATTTACTCAGATTGGTTTAATGCATTATGCTTTGCTTGCTAGAGCTTTAAACTTTTATTATCGGGTTGAATGAGACAAGTAGAGGTACCCTTTGAAAATGTCAGAAGTATCTGCTGGAGCTTATGGAGTGCTGTCTAAAGCTGGCCATAAATGGATCTTTTTTTTTTTTTGATCAGCCAGCAAGTTGAAAAAAAAAAAAAAAAGAACAAATTCCTCCATCCACATAACCGATGTGGAAAGAGAAATTCTCCCTGTTATGCCATTGTACTGTGATAACAGTGATTTTCCGATGTCAGCATACACTGATCAGTGGTTTCAGCCCATTGATCAAGAAAAAATTTCAAGCATTCCTGTTCAACAGAAGTTGACCATTGAATTGACTTCTGTTAAGCGGAAGTGGCCATACATGGATTGAAATTCTCCTGATTCCTGCTGAAGTCAAAAAATGCTGCGCTATTCACATATAACATGCATATAATATTGAACAGTCAAAATACAAATCCTAGTGCCAACACAAAAGTCATAAAAGTGATAATCCCAAACATGTGGAAATGGTCCCAAGTGATGAGTGAAACCATGATGGGTCTTGAGATCTTTGAATCAGTTGATGCTCCAGACACCAATAACATCTTTGAGTGTACCACCACCTTATGTGTAAGAAGACTCTTACCAGAGCTAGTGGACTCTTTACTAATAAAATACTAATATAAAAAAAGCCCTTGTGTATAAAGATATAATCCACCTACCGGTCTCCACCTATGGTCTCATGAGCAAAACATCCATATGTAAAGCATATTCCACCATAGCCTTCACACCATCTTCTTCCCCATTCTCTTATACCGGTAAGAGTATATGCTGAGGATAAGTAGAGAAGAGAGACAGCTGGCGCTGCTGTCTTTCTTCTCTACCTGCATTAGGAGTATCTACAAGCTCTTACAGCCGGCTTCCTCCTCGGACAAGTCCATACTACTACAAGCCCCCCCCCCCCACTACAGATGGACTTGGACACCACCTCCAAATGGACCTTCTACTAACCCCCATTGCTGATGGCCCATCCCCAAACGCACACAGGATAGATGCGTTTTCGCGCTCCCTCCCCCCACTCACCTCTGTATGCTGAGGATAGACCTGGAGTGTTTCAGTCCACCCACATGAGTTGAGATGGTGTGAAGGTTAAGGTCCTCTTTAGGAAATGGCACTTTTTTGAGGAGGGGAGCGGGTACCTGGTTTTGACTCACCCCCCTGCTTGCTACTACTGGGACATGTCACAGGTCCCAGAAGACTGTGGGACCATTCACAATGCACAGCATGGTTCGCGTATAAGTAGTGGGCACCCGGCTGGGCAGCCACAAGCTGTCACAGCTGGGTACCCACAGCTGAGATGAGTGCCGGGGACAGAAGACCGATGAAAAGAACGGCTCGAGTGAGCACATGGCTGGATCCTGGGACAAGTGAATATCTGTTTATTAAAAGTCAGCAGCTACAGTTTTGTAGACTGACTTAAAAAAAAACACAAATATGACTGGAGCTATTCTTTAACTAAATGATCTTATCTAAGAGTTTTCAAACAGAAAAAATTGTTTCTGGGGCAGCCATATATGTACTTCTCAGACTGTGCTTTACTACAAGTCTGGTATGGTCTGACCTGAGAAGGACAGCAAATTCTCTATTAGGACATAGCTCAGTGGATTTTTAAAAGTTTCTTGCTAGCTCACCCCTCAGAATTACTTATACTCACCTTCCCAGAGCTCCATGTTTTTCCTTTCTTTATCGCAGCTGCCACAAAATATGTATGTGCTTCCTATCATGACCTCCAGTAAGTAACCTCATACCATGAGATCACGAGCAACCAATCAACAGGACCAAACATTGTCATGTGACATAAAGATTAAACAGTCAACCCTCTGTAAGCTTCAACACGAAGCAGCTACAACAGAGGAAGTAACAGAGGGGGAGTGCTGCAAAGGTGAGTGTAGGTTGGTGGCAGGGTGGGATTTAAAGCGGTAGTAAACCGCAGACAAAAAAAAAAAAGGCCCCTGCAAGGTAATGTCATAATGTGCTAGTATGCAACACATGCGCGCAGGAGTCCCGGCCCACGGCACACAGCTCTGAAGGAGCAGCACGGGTATGCCATTCCTTGAGAGCGCATGCGCCCGCTTTAGAAAAGAGAGAATAACTCCTAAACAATGCAGGTTTATAATATATTCATTTTACCTACAGGTAATCTTTATTATAAGCTTACCTGTAGGTAACAATTAGAAAAACGACTTCCAATTTATTGAGATTTTGGCACTTTGCCCTGAATGCTAATCACAGGTGACCACTAGAGGGAGCATTTCCAAATCTGAAATTCAAAAGTCACATTAAAATAACTTTCAGGGAAATGCAGTAATAACTTTATTTGTACTTGCCGGCTGCAGACTGTAGTTTCCCTTTAAGGTAGAGCTTTGATTAATTTAAATATGTATTAGCTATAGGCAAAATCTATATGTGATTAAATCTTTATAAATCTCTCTGATTTTGTTTCCACCAGGCATCATATGTTCATCCTGATATCCTGCCAATCATGTTAAAGACTCTTGCATTTTATTAAGGATAAGGACTGGCTCACCTCCTGTGCTCTTTGTGTGCTTCTTAGTCATGCTTTAGCTCTGCAACCAGCATCCAGTGGGTTGATGGAGAACATCCTCATAAACACCAGAGATGTACAATAGAGCAGCTGATGGACACGTGTTATTTACTCATAATAACAATCAATGATATTGTACAGGCTGTGCTGTGATTGGCTCTTTGCAAATTTCTCTTCAAGAGAATTGATGCTGTACCTGTACAAACTGCTCCCATCAAGTTAAAATACAGCATAGCACGTCTTCTCCTGAGTGTAAAACCATTTTACAGATGATGATGGCGTTTGCCAGCAAAACTTAATACTTAATGCAACAGTTTTGCCAATATGTATCTTAAAAATACATTCAGCTGTTTGATGTCCCCCCCCCCTTAGCAAAGCATGGCATAAAAAGCCCACATGGACCATTACAAAATGTTAGTGTTACCTTTAAGTATTGTGGGTGTTTCTTAGAGTAGCATTCTCTGATTGCTCACCAGTGCTGGCCAGTCAGATGCCAGTAGGTCCCTGATAACTTAGCTTGTAACCCTTTTGTTGTTTGGGTGTGCCAAGCAGTGCAAGGGTTGGTGTGGCACCCTAATCAGTGTTCTTAATAAGGTGTTATGTGTTCATCCGAGGAGGCGGCAAACTCCTATGCTGCGATTCGTGTCCAGCCGCCTTCCACCCTTCCTGTCTCAGCATAGAGATGCCACAAGGATCTTGGAGCTGCAATGACTGCAGGACTGGAAAGAAGCTGCACTACAAACAGATTGTGTGGGTCAAGCTTGGGAATTACAGGCAAGTGCTGAATCAGCAATATAATTGTGTGATTATGCATGTAGATAAGGTACTTTGACCTTCTCGTATGTCTGTAGCCAGTATTCTTAACGGCTAAAGATACTTTATCTGTGTATCACTTTTTTTGGATATGTACTCTAAAATGCCATTTTGTTTTTTTTCTCAGGTGGTGGCCAGCTGAGATCTGCAATCCAAGGTCCGTTCCACTCAATATCCAGGGCCTGAAACATGACATAGGAGATTTCCCCGTTTTCTTCTTTGGTTCTCATGATTATTACTGGGTACACCAGGGTCGTGTGTTTCCCTACGTAGAAGGGGATAAAAGCTTTGCAGAGGGCCAGACCAGTATTAACAAAACTTTTAAGAAAGGTGAGTATGTGGAATGATGAAAGAAACTGTAACTTCAAACAATGTTTCTTAATGATGACTAGCTCAAACTTGTAAATACTTAATTACCAGAACGGGAAGTAAGGGTGAATCTCCTTAAAGTAACAAAAGAGTGGGGAAGGGTTAGAGCATCTGTAAGGTTTTTGTTTTTGCCTGTGTTTCTCTAATTAGAATAAGACATCCTATATACCAGGCCTTGAAATTTCCACTCGCCTGCTCGCCAATGGCCAGTGGAAATTATGGTGGAGGTGAGTGTGTCCCCCAGGGCCGTCTTGCTGAGCAGGCTTGGAGCTCAGGCCGCATCTGTCATTGGCACTGGAAGCTGTGAGACTGCTCAATAGCTGAGCACAGTGAAAGCAAAGCAAGTAGTATATGCTGTGCTCTCTGCCTCCTCCTAGAGTGCAGTACCCAGCTCTGTGAGTGAACAATGAAGTACTGCAACTTTTGTGTGTGTGTACATGTGTGTGTGTGTGTGCATGCATGTACATGTGTATGTGTGTATGTACATGTGTGTATCTGTACATGTGTCTGCATGTATGTACATGTATGTGTGTGTACATGTGTCTGTGTGTGCATGTACATATGTTTGTGTGTATGTACGTACATATGTATGTGTGTACATGTGTCTGTGTATGTATGTACATGTGTCTGTGTGTATGTACATGTGTCTCTGCGTGTGTATCTCTGTGTATGTACATGTATCTGTGTGTATGCGTGTCTGTATGTGCCTGTGTGTGTATACATGTGTCTGTATGTGTGTGTGCGTACATGTGTCTCTGTGCGTGTGTGTACATGTGTCTCTGTGTGTATGTACATGTTTGTGTGTGTGTACAGGTGTCTCTGTTTTTTTGTGTGTTTGTTGGTGGCGAGTAACTATTTAGGCCTGGCTAGTAGCTCAGGACTTGAAATTTTAAGCCCTGGTCTATACCCTGTAAACATCATTGTTAATCTTTGTGCAAATAGATACACATTTCACATACATATACATTTGGTGATTCTACCTCTTTTTTAATGTTATGTGCAGCTCTGGAAGAGGCTGCTAAAAGGTTCCAGGAACTGAAGGCACAGAGGGAGAGTAAAGAAGCACTGGAAGTGGAGAGAAACTCCAGAAAACCACCCCCGTACAAGCACATCAGGGTATGAAACCATGGAAAGAACCTCATTGGCTTTACGTTAACACTTTATGTTCATACAATGACTTGGCTGCCACGTTAGTTCAGATTACTGGAAAAACTTTGCAAAAGTTTTGAAACTCTTCTCAGTAGAACTTTTGCCCCTTTGTTCACCAGTTAATTTTTTGATTTACCTTTGCTAGGCAAGGAAAAAGAAAACCTAAAATTGTACATTTTGTGCATTAGAGCTTGCTTCTCTATTCCTATCGCATTAGGCACAAGTTCCAAGTACCTTATGGTAAATAAACAGTATGCTTTGTGCTGCTCAGTTTCAAAGCTGCTCCTCAGATCATTTAAATATTGAAAAAAAAAGTGTTTTGTCACTACTCCACTCATTGCATATTTCTTGTGTTTACAGTTGCATTGTCTTAGGGATCAGATGCTTACCATTTTTTTTAATAGCTAGTCCCACATAGCAATTGTTCACATCTGCACACTTTAGGTATGTACATTTAAAGATGGTGCTGGAGAGAGAAAGCTTCCACTGTTTTGTGTCAGTTGGAATATACATGTTCGATCTGCACATACATTGAACTGTGCTGTGGATGGCCTCTCTGTATTAAGTAGAGGAATACAAAGGATCGGTGGAGAAATTCCTAACTCTCATTGTTGTATTTACACCAAGTAGGAAAATATGCTATGCTTTTTTTTTCCTTGATCTTGGTGCTCATTTTATTTAGTATGTTTGGCCTTTTTTTCTATTCCTTTGAGGAATATTGGTGATTTTGTTTGATCTCCATCCTCAGGTAACCATACATACAAGAATCCTATCATTTTATAAAAATCCTAACTATAAATTAAGTAATTTTGTCTTTTCCACTGGCCTATGGTGCGTGGGCATATGCACTCTCGTTTTCAGTTTAAAGTTCACCTTTTAGAAAAAAAAAGTAAATGCACATTTTTTTGCAGGTAAAAACGTGCATTTATTATTTTTTGTCTGTAGGAGCTTGTAACCATCTCCTGCAGATCTGTCAGTACATCTACTTGCTCATATGGGATGTACGAGCAAGGAGATATACTGACAGGAAAAATGAATGAACCATCACGGCGCTTCACAGTGTCATGGTAGTTCATTGAGGACTACAAGCTGACAGCCAATAAGACTGTCAGGACTTGTAATCTCTCATTCACAGATGACTATGAATGAATGACAGGGCCATGTGGGCAGAGCCCTGCATGGCCACGTCTTTTAAAAATTTGACAGCGAGAGGGGAGAAGAATCCCCACAAGCTGTCAAAGTGGGGATCGGAGGGAGAGCGGAGGCCGGTCTGATCTGATCGTAATATGTTGAATGTTACAACCCTGAATATGGGTATAACATGTAACATGTTATATTCTTTAAGTAAATTTAAAGATGGCAGCCCTTCTGTCAATCAATGATATTATCTGATATCATTATATGATATATCCCTGTATACACCCGCAGAGTCAGGCTTCAATCACACGCTCTCTGTATTCTGTTTCGACTGATGTCAGAGTCAAAAATGTCTTTCCAGCTAGTTTAAACTTCTTTGTACCTTATTCCTTTTGACAATTATTGATCAAACACATTCCATGTGCAATAATTCATCACACATATCAATTTTGTTATGCAAGTCACAGGATTCGTTTCCACCGTGTTTCCCTTGTATAACCTACAGTTCTGGCACTCATGCTTATCACAAGCCTTCCACCCTCACTAAGGGGTTCTGGAACTAATTGGCATCATTAGAAGGAAGGATAGTGAGAACTCCTTAATGAAGGTGGAGGAAGGTGGGAGGTTTACAGCCCTGGTAGAGGCTGGTCTGCCAAATGTTGGTGGAAGAAACCCTGGAGAAAGTCTAATAGTGAAGCTCAGTAGGACCACAGAAAAGTGAGGCTTTGGTGCATGACTGCCAAGACTGTAGGGGATACATTTGAAAAAAGGTGGATGTGATTCCTGTGACTTACTGTATATAACAAAACTTGTATGTGTAATGCCTTATGTGCTTGACCATCGATGGACTAAAGGAATAATGTACAAAAACTGGTTTGAACTTCCAGGAAAGAAATTTCTGATTTTGACATCAGTGGAAACAGAGTACAGAAAGGCTGTACAGTTGCAAGAAAAAGTATGTGAACCCCTTGGGATTACGTGGAGCTTTGCATGAATTGGGTATAAAATGTGCTCTGAACGTCATCTAAGTCACAAAAATAGAAGAACACAGTCTGCTGAACATAATACTACACAAACATTAGATGTTGCCATGGTTTAATTGCACATAACATGTAAACATTCACAGTGCAGGGAGGAAAAAGTATGTGAGGCCCTAGCTTAATGACTTCTCCCAGAGCTAATTGGAGCCAGGTGTGAGCCAACCTTGACTCCAATCAGTGTGATGATATTGGATGTGTTGCTGACAGCTGTCCTGCCCTTAAAAAACACACACCTGTTTTGGGTTTACTGGTTTCAAGAAGCACTGTCTGATGTGAACCATGCCTCGCAGAAAAGAGCTCTCAGAAGATCTACGATCAAGAATTGTAGACTTGCATGAAGCTGGAAAGGGTTACAAAAGTATCTCCAAAAGCCTTGATGTTCATGTGTCCACGGTAAGACAGACTGTCTACAAATGGAGAAAGTTTAGCACTGTTGCTAATCTCCCTAGGCATGGTCGTCCTGTAAAAATGACTGCAAGAGCACAGCGCAGAATGCTGCATGAGGTAAAGAAGAATCCCAGAGTGTCAGCTAAAGACCTACAGAAATCTCTGGCACATGCTAACATTTTTGTTGACACATCTACAATAAGGAAAACATTAAACAAGAATGGAGTACATGGGAGGACACCACGGAGGAAGCCATTGCTGTCCAAAAAGAATATTGCAGCACGTTTGAAGTTTGCAAAAGAGCACCTGGATGTTCCACAGCACTACTGACAAAATATACTGTGGACAGATGAAACCAAGATTGAGTTGTTTGGGAAGAACACACAACACTATGTGTGGAGAAAAAAAGGCACAGCACACCAACATCAAAACCTCATCCCCACTGTAAAACATGGCGGAGGGAGCATCATGGTTTGGGGCTGCTTTGCTGCCTCAGGGCCTGGACGGATTGTTGTCATTGATGGGAAAATGAATTCCAGAGTTTATCAAGACATTTTGCAGGAAAACGTACGACCATCTGTCCGCCAACTGAAGCTCCGCAGAGGATGGGTGATGCAACAGGACAATGACCCAAAGCATACAAGTAATTCAACAAAACAATGGCTGCAACAGCACAGAATAAGCCTTCTGGAGTGGCCCAGTCAGAGTCCTGACCTCAACCCGATTGAAATGCTGTTGCATGACCTTAAGAGAGCGATTCACACCAGACATCCCAAGAATATTGCTACACTGAAACAGTTTTGTGAAGAGGAGTGGTCCAAAATGACTCCAGATCGTTGTGCAGGTCTGATCTGCAACTACAGGAAACGTTTGGCTGAGGTTATTGCTGCCAAAGGAGGGTCAACCAGTTATTAAGTCCAAAGGTTCACATACTTTTTCCTCCCTGCACTGTGAATGTTTACATGTTATGTGCAATTAAACCATGGCAACATCTAATGTTTGTGTAGTATTATGTTCAGCAGACTGTGTTCTTCTATTGTTGTGACTTAGATGACGTTCAGAGCACATTTTATGCCCAATTCATGGAAAACTCCACGTAATCCCAAGGGGTTCACATACTTTTTCTTGCAACTGTACTTGAAGCCTGAGCCTGCGGTGTCTATGGGGAAATAGGAGCACTGTCATCTCTAAATTTATGCTAACTTTCCCAGATGGTGATCTTGCTGGCAGCTTTATATATCCTTTTATTGTTGGACTATATATATGTAAAATGCACATGCAATGACCTAAAACCATGCAGTTGTGTACAGACCCTTAGGGGTTTATTTACTAAAGCTGGAGAGTCCAAAATCAGACTCCCTTCTGCATAGAAACCAATCAGCTTCTAACCTCAGCTTGTTCAATGAAGCTTTGGCAATGAAACCTGGAAGCTGATTGGTTTCTATGCAGAAGGGAGTCTGATTTTGGACTCTCCAGCTTTAGTAAATAAACCCCTTACTGTCTTCAGACACATTCACCTAGCTTTTTAGTATCCCTGTTGTGTACGTCACTCAGCAAGTTGATATTACAAGCACATCTACAGAGCCATTATACCTGTATAATGATGTTACAATGTCAGCTCTCTCCAGCAGACTGTTGTAGATAATATTTGAAATTGCAGCTCGCAGGCAGTAGAGCCTGGATGCTTGCTTTCTGCTTGGATAGATTCAAATCATTTTGCTCTACAGATTTTCATGGACATGTTCTGTATACCTAGTATGTTCAGTTCTAGTTTTTTTTATTTATAAAATAAATAATCATCTATGCCCAAGTAAACTTAAATTAGTCTTGGTTGCTTAACCAGGCATTTTAGTTTCAGATCCTTGGTCATAGCAAATTGTTTATGGTGTGTTTTTGTTTTCTTTTTTTCCCATATTGTAGAACAACAAACCCGTGGGGAAAATTCAGATCCAGGTGGCAGACATCTCGGAAATACCTCGTTGTAACTGTCGTCCCACTGATGAATCTCCATGTGGCCTGGACTCCCAGTGCCTGAACCGTATGTTGCTCTATGAGTGTCACCCACAGGTGTGCCCTGCTGGGGAGAGATGCCAAAACCAGAGCTTTACTAAACGGCTTTACCCCGAGACTGAGATCTTCCGCACTGAGAGGAGAGGCTGGGGCCTTCTGTGCAAGAGAGATATTCGAAAGGTAGCATTCTGATGAGTAGAAAGAAACTTTCTGGGTTTTTTAGCTTGAGGTATATCTTAAAAGTTTAGATTTCTAATAGAAATTAATACATTAATTATTCCACTAAAAACATAAAATTCTATTTTTTTGCGGATCCTGCTATGTTTGGTGACCTGCTGACTTCTTATCCCTCTTAAGGACTTAATTGGCAAGATTCTTTCATTGTATTTTTTCTTGCTACGCAACCTAGTGCAGCTGATACCAAACCGAATGGGAATTTGCTTGTTCAGAAATGCAGAATAAATAGAAATTTCATTCACAAGGGGCACACACATAATGGTCAAAACAGGAGGGTGGAACTGGAAGCTCAGGCTGGGATACTAAGATGTAAACCTCAAAGGGGTATGTCAGCACTCTGCAATCCGCTGAAATCTGAAATATCAGTTTTTCAGCATGAGCTGTGTTAGGTATGCAGGTAAACTGGAGCAAGTGTTTCTTGTTACTGCTGCAATAGTCCAGACTCTTCTCCATACTGTTTTTTGATTGGCTTCCCCATGTGGTAGAAATACCGTTGACAGTTCAACAACATAAGATTATATCTGCTCCTTTCTAAGATTTGTATTTTTTGGTTCGTTTCAGGGCGAGTTTGTGAATGAATACGTAGGGGAGTTGATCGATGAGGAAGAGTGCAGACTACGCTTGAAACGAGCCCATGAAAACGGAGTCACCAACTTCTACTTGCTTACTGTCACCAAGGTGAGAGTAGATTCAGAAGCATTTATAGTATTTTGTGTACTTGTTTAGTGGATGCCTCCAGCTACTGGCTGATAATTGATTAGTGTGTTCTAGGGGCACACTAATGATGTGTTTTGTTTTTTTTTCTAATTTAGCAAAAAAGATATATTCAGTGTTTTGGTACTTAGCACATAAACTCAGAGGCTCTCCATGTGCTTCAAATATTATGTCTGTTTTTTCTATGTTATGGAACAGCATTGATGATGAAGGAACAACGTTTTTAAGTCTACATGGTCATTTTTTTTGTTTTTTTTTTCAATTTGCGGTCAAAGACTGTAGCACTATTAGGCCCCCTTCACATGAGCTGACCAATCGGATCCATCTGTCAGTTTTGCAGGCGAACCCAATCGGACCCTCTATTGTCCTCTGTGGAGCAGCGGGTGTAAACACACCTGTGTCTGTTTACACTCGCCTACATCCAATCTGATCCACTAAAAACAGATGGATGCGGATGCCCCTTCTATCTAGTGGATCGGATTGGATGACAGTCGGGACGAAATGGACAGGCAGTCTGTTTACATCCGACTGACTATAGAGGAGAACCGGCTGTGTCTGTGTCCGCTTTGCATAAGCGGAGTGGACATGGAACAGCCACCCGTCTGCTCAGCGGAGATCAGCGGGCAGATCCACCTCTGAGCAAGTGGACTCCTAGCAGATATATATCAAAAGGTGCATTATAATATATAATATTTTTATATAAATATATAAAATAAATAAAAATAAAACTCAATACAGTAAACTTCTAGATGAATACGGCGCTTAATTAGGCGCACGAATGAGAAGTTATATTGTACAGTCTAGAGATGTGTGGAAAGAAGTGCAGGCTTGACTTAGGTAGGTCAGCAATACAAGTGGTTAAACTTCAGACTCGCGGGTAATTTTCATAGTGAACATCCTCGTGATGTGACTCCATGCAGCAATATATAAAATGCGCACTCACCAGATGCACATAGGTTACTTGCATTAAACCAATAGGCCTCTGTAGGGGCCCCTTTAAATGGAACAGCCAGCCCGCCTGGAGCAAGGATCCCTCATCTGGACACCAGCTTCACATGCAGCCACGCTTCCTCTGGGGGTCTCTGTGAGCAGTTAACTCAGAGCCAAGCAGTATATGAAAAACGTATAGTGTAGTACTTTCTCAAGAAGTATTCATTTATTAAGGATAAATTTCCAAAAATATAAATTAAAAACATTCCATATCGATAATTGGAATAAGTATAACCAGTAAAGTGCACATAAGATAACATTTGGCTGCTCAGCCACTCTCCAAAATGGCCGCCCGGACCTCCGTACGGCTCCGGCGGCATGACACTCACGATGTTAGGGCTCCTCCTTGATGCGTTTCGTGCAAGAGCACGTTCTCAAAAGGGGTGTACCTATTGTCGGACGTCTAAAATCCCATTTTATACATTTAGTGCATCTGCACATGCACGGGCGCCATTTTATCAGAGTATTAGGGACAAAGCACTAATGTGCATGCGCGTGCGCGCACACAGCTGGATTACAGACACTGGCAATCAGATTACCACAAACTGATCAGCATAAGATGATGAATATTAATATATATATAAGCAACTTTTAAAATGGGAAACATTCATGGCAGTAGTGTTAATGGTGTAACACAAATATAAATAACAATCTTAAAAATGGGGCAACAGCACGTGATCCCTCATTGTGATTAAATGTAACAATATATATGTCTTTAATGAAAACACTGGGGATAAGGAAAAACACCAACCATTATATATATCCCCAGAGATAATATGTATAGGGAAAAAAGAAGGAAACCATTGTAAAAAAAAATTAAAATTAATAATTAATAGTAAAAGGCTAAATTATGTGAAGGGAGAAATAAAAATAAAGAATCTCCCCTAAAAGTCATGGTTATGATGGAATCACAATGTGGCATCATGAGACCTAATATGTGTAAACAAAACATACGTAAAATGGAACAATTGAGTCCCATATACATCATATAAACTTAGAAATAGCATAAAAATATTATAGAATAGAATAGGAATGAACCGAATACGTCCGTATAGTAAAATATTAAGTCATATTAAAAATATATAATAAATGTCATCAGAAGTCAGTAAAATCAAATTCAAAAACCAATATCACCTCAAAACCAGATAAAAAAGATAAAATAAATAGATAACAGGTAACGCAACATCATATAGTATCATTATGTTCCAAAGGGCAGTCAAACAACCCACAGATGTGATTGTTGAATAAGGCATAGAATAAATATTTAAAACTCAGCTATTATCTGTAAAACAATTAATATCTAGATCTATATTTAACCCTAGTGGATTTAGAGATTGAATCTCATAGATCCACTTGGTTTCTAGCTGCAAAACGGCTCTGTGTCTATTAATGCCTCTCCAATGATGTCTGATCATGTCAATCTCAATAAATTTTAAAGATGAGGGATCTCTATTGTGAAAGTACCTATAGTGTTTAGATAAAGAATGCTCTTTATAGCCTCTCTTAATATTATACACATGCTCTCTGAGCCTGTCCCTCAATCTCCTTGTGGTCCTACCTACATACTGTTTGCGGCATGGGCACTCTAGTAAGTACACTACATATCTGCTGTTGCAAGAGATGAACAGAGGAATTTTATAACTCCTTCCAGTCCAGTGTGGGAGACAAAAGATTCGCTCTTATTTTTCCTAATCCCATTGTACTTGCAAATCATGCATTTGTTACAGGGGTGAAAGCCTTTAATGTCAGAAAAAAATGATGTAGCAGTAGGAGGATCAATAATGTTTGGCGCAATTCTGGTTTTAAGTGGCATTGCCTTATGAAAGGTAATTTCTGGCCTATCAGGAAGTAGCTTAGACAAAATAGGGTCTGTTTTAAGCACCCCCCAATTCCTATTTATTATTTTCTTCACTTCCATGTGTTGTATGGAGAAATTGCTTATAAAAGGGCAGACTTGATTGGTTCTTTCTTTTTTAGGTTGGGATAACATCATCTCCCTATCCATACACGCAACCTGTTTCACTGTTTGGTCCAAAACGACCTCATCATACCCTTTTTCTCCAAATCTTTTCTTAAGAATAGCCACTTGTGAAAGATATGTATCTAAATCTCCACAGTTGCGTCTTATCCTCATGAATTGTCCCTTAGGTATATTGGACAACCATGAGGGGGGATGGCAGCTGTCAATGGGAATATAACTATTCCTATCAGTATTTTTAAAAAATTATTTAGTAACGACCTGTGTTCCTTGATTTATAAGGGTAAGAGTCCGCCTCATCTGGAAGGGGCTTTACAGGCCTGACTGACAGTGCCTACTAAATATATGACACCTAAGTACATACTGAGGGGGGTTACTAAACGTAGAGTGTGCAATATCTGGTACAGCTCTGCATAGAAACCAATCAGCTTCCAGGTTTTATTCTCAAAGTCTAATTGAACAAGCTGAAGTTAGAAGCTGATTGGCTACCACGTACAGCTGCACCAGATTCCGAGTGTTCCAGTTTTAGTAGATCGCCCCTATGTAACCTGCAGTCTGTCAATTGGTGAACAGTCCATACTTTCCCCAAGTCAGACAGTATGAGCAGTGTCTGCCAGCTCTGCTTTCATCCTCTCTCTACTCTAGGTTGAAAGCATTCTTGTTTAGGGAGCACTTTGTAGACTTGAAATTTTGTTTTCCCTCAAACTAAGACTAGTGCTTGTACTCTCTTATGGGCAGTCCATTAAAACATTAGTCCATGTAAATTTCTGAAGACCTCTTCTGATGAACATTTAGCACTCATATAGCTTCATTCTTCACAATGTGTATTAAATTAAAAATTCAGCAAGATAAAGACAGCTTCCTTGTGACTGGTGTAGTGGATGGGCAGTGTTGGGAGCTCTCCGTTCTCACAGAAGGTAAAAGAGTGTAGATGGGACAATGCAGCATTTCAGGTGCATTAAGCTGATTTGTAAGATTTGTTTTGCCCCCTTCTAAGCTGAATGAAGCTTATTTTGTAATTCCAATTAGTAGTATTGGGAGAAAAGATTAACAGCCAAGTACACAAACTGTTAAACTAAATATCAGTTTTGGTAATCTGACTTCTGTTCTTTCCTTAAAAACACAAATCAATAAACCCTAAGCAGTATGAAGGGTCAGTGCTGATTGGGAAAGATGATCCAATACGCTGCCTTCTTTTAACTACTTTGCGTCAAGGGCAATTTTTTTCTTTTTCACACACTTGCTAAAAAAAATATTTTGCTAAAAAATGACTTAGAGCCCCAATCAATTATATTGGCTCTGTAGAGTAAAATGGTGGCTGTTGCAAATTTTATATGTAGCACGATATTTGTGCAGCTTCTTATCAAATGCACATTTTCAAGAAAAAAATACACTAAAATGACTTTTAGTGCACACAAACACAATATAACACCCAATATTTTGGTAAAATATAAAAGATGAGATTGTATCAAGTAAATAGATGCTGAACATGTCTAGCCTCAACATTGTACTTGCCCATGAAATGGCAAAAAAGGTACCCAAGGGTGAAAGGGAGCTTTTTGTTTTCATTATTTGCATACATTTTATTATAAATTAATTTTGTATCTTTTTTTTTTTTGTTTATCTTTAATGCTATCTTAGGGAGGCTAATAAGCCAGTGTGGCCCTTCTCACTACTGTAAAAGTAGTTGAATGGCTGTAGAACCACCCAAATCACTTTTACTGAACAGTCGATTGCCAACTATAAAACTTATACTAAGCTCATGGCAGCAGGATGTTTATATATGGCCTTAAGTTAGTAAGTGGTTAAAGGGGATTTTTTTAAAATAAAATTTTGCAAAGATGACAATACAAAACAAAATAATAAAGAGAACATTACAATAAAATCTTCAAAAGACTTGCCCTTAGATTTTGGCATACAGACAGATGATTGGACATCACCTGGCAACATCAATTTAAAGGGAGTGTATTACAAGACAAGAAAAAGAAAAGAAAACAGGCATTTATATATTACCTGGGTGTAGTGGGAGAAGTGGATCGGGGAGGAGATCCAAAGTCCCCTGATCTTATGATACTTTATTGATCAGTTAGGTGATAGAATTGTTTGCTTCCTGAAGGGGTAGTATGATTATTAGCATTATAGGTGGAAAACATTCAAATAGCTTGATGTGAAATTTCTGCGGAGGAACATATCTGAATAGGACATGTATATATAGACAGCATTTAGAGAAAAACATTTCGTTTTTCAGAGGATGAGCAGAGTACATCGTTTCAGAAGAGTCAGTTGTGCATTATTTTAATTTTCTGTTATCATCTAGCAGATTGATTGTGCCTCTTTCTGTCCGGTGAATTCCAGGATCGTATCATAGATGCTGGCCCTAAGGGGAATTATTCCCGTTTCATGAATCACAGCTGTAACCCAAACTGCGACACCCAAAAGTGGACGGTGAATGGCGATGTGAGAGTCGGACTGTTTGCGCTTTGTGACATACCTCAAGGTACAGTGATTTAACCATTTCTACCTTGCTGTATAATTTTGTAATTTGAGGTTTATTTACTGTTACTAAAAAACACATCACTTGTGTTTATTGGTTTGTTGATATAATAACACATATCTTAAATGCATCTTAGTGTTCCCCCTGCAATAAAAAAAGGTATTTCCTATAGTAGAGGTAATGTCTACCTAAAAGTTTAGTGGATCATACAGTGGCTTTTCTAACTGAGACAACCCTCATTATCATGACACAAAAAGTTATGTTTGCATATTTAACAGGTGTTTGTTTGAAAATGCCCTGGAAGAGTGAAAAAGTACTGCATTATATTTGTGGTGACACAGTGTTCATCTTGAATGAGTCCTAACCACTTCCAGTCCGGACACTTTTACCCCCTTCCTGTCCAGGCCAATTTTCAGCTTTCAGTGCTATTGCACTTTGAATGACAATTGCGTGGTCATGCAACACTGTACCCATATGAATTTTTAGCATTTTTTTGAGACAGATAAAGCGTTGGTGGTATACAGTCAGGTCCATAAATATTGGGACATCGACACAATTCTAACATTTTTGGCTCTATACACCACCACAAAGGATTTGAAATGAAACAAACAAGATGTGCTTTAACTGCAGACTGTCAGCTTTAATTTGAGGGTATTTACATCCAAATCAGGTGAACGGTGTAGGAATTACAACAGTTTGCATATGTGCCTTCCACTTGTTAAGGGACCAAAAGTAATGGGACAGAATAATAATCATAAATCAAACTTTCACTTTTTAATACTTGGTTGCAAATCTTTTGCAGTCAATTACAGCCTGAAGTCTGGAACGCATAGACATCACCAGACGCTGGGTTTCATCCCTGGTGATGCTCTGCCAGGCCTCTACTGCAACTGTCTTCAGTTCCTGCTTGTTCTTGGGGCATTTTCCCTTCAGTTTTGTCTTCAGCAAGTGAAATGCATGCTCAATCGGATTCAGGTCATGTGATTGACTTGGCCATTGCATAACATTCCACTTCTTTCCCTTAAAAAACTCTTTGGTTGCTTTTGCAGTATGCTTTGGGTCATTGTCCATCTGCACTGTGAAGCGGCGTCCAATGAGTTCTGAAGCATTTGGCTGAATATGAGCAGATAATATTGCCCGAAACACTTCAGAATTCATCCTGCTGCTTTTGTCAGCAGTCACATCATCAATAAATAGAAGAGAACCAGTTCCATTGGCAGCCATACATACCCACGCCATGACACTACCACCACCATGCTTCACTGATGAGGTGGTATGCTTAGGATCATGAGCAGTTCCTTTCCTTCTCCATACTCTTCTCTTCCCATCACTCTGGTACAAGTTGATCTTGGTCTCATCTGTCCATAGGATGTTGTTCCAGAACTGTGAAGGCTTTTTTACATGTCGTTTGGCAAACTCTAATTTGGCCTTCCTGTTTTTGAGGCTCACCAATGGTTTACATCTTGTGGTGAACCCTCTGTATTCACTCTGGTGAAGTCTTCTCTTGATTGTTGACTTTGACACACATACACCTACCTCCTGGAGAGTGTTCTTGATCTGACCAACTGTTGTGAAGGGTGTTTTCTTCACCAGGGAAAGAATTCTTCGGTCATCCACCACAGTTGTTTTCTGTGGTCTTCCGGGTCTTTCGGTGTTGCTGAGCTCACCGATGCGTTCCTTCTTTTTAAGAATGTTCCAAACAGTTGTTTTGGCCACGCCTAATGTTTTTGCTATCTCTCTGATGGGTTTGTTTTGTTTTTTCAGCCTAATGATGGCTCGCTTCACTGATAGTGACAGCTCTTTGGATCTCATCTTGAGAGTTGACAGCAACAGATTCCAAATGCAAATAGCACACTTGAAATGAACTCTGGACCTTTTATCTGCTCATTGTAATTGGGATAATGAGGGAATAACACACACCTGGCCATGGAACAGCTGAGAAGCCAATTGTCCCATTACTTTTGGTCCCATAAGAAGTGGGAGGCACATATGCAAACTGTTGTAATTCCTACACCGTTCACCTGATTTGGATGTAAATACCCTCAAATTAAAGCTGACAGTCTGCAGTTAAAGCACATCTTGTTTGTTTCATTTCAAATCCATTGTGGTGGTGCATAGAGCCAAAAATGTTAGATTTGTGTCGATGTCCCAATATTTATGGACCTGACTGTATATTCACCACTGGGATTTTTTTATTTTTTTGCTATGTAAATTAAAAAGTCCAAACATTTTGAAAAAAAGTGTTTTTCTTATAAAATTTTGCAAATAGTATTTCATCATAAATCTTGGCCAAAATTTATTCCGTTATATTTTTAGTAAAAAAAAAAACCAAATTAGTTTATAACCAAAAATTATAATTTTTAAACATTTTTTTTTACATTTTTTTATTTTTTTTTTATATTATTATTTATTTATTTTTTTACATACTGTCACCCTAGCAGTACAGTGTCACCATGGTGACACTGTACTACTTGTGGGGGGTGATGAAGATTTGTTTTTTGTTTACACTGATTGCTTTTACACCCATAAAGGCTGTAAAAGCAATCATTTCTCCTCTCTAGCTGCATTCTTGCAGCCATTGAGAACTACTGTGTGAACTGTGATTGGTCACAGCTTGTCACATGGTACAAGGCTGTTGTGAATATCCTTGTACCATGTGACCTCTGTGATCATTCACAGATTTAACACATAGTAAGAAATGATGTCACAAATGCTTATTACTCTGTATACTCTTGCTTATTACTCTGCATGTGATCACTGATTGGCCAATCAGTGATCACATGATCAGGACCTCGCACAGAGGTCCCGTCCGACGATCGGTGTTCCACTGTGTCCGGAGGACACAGCGGGCACCGAATCACAGTGCTGCGCGCTCCCAGGGAGCGCGCACAAGCAGGGTGCAGGGAGGCCATTTATAAACGTCCAACCGACCCTGCACTGCCACCGAGGTGGTTAAAGCCCCCTTTGTCCACTAAAGGGCCTAGAGTGTACCTCATATCCTCCAAGGAATCCTCAGACGTAAATGCCATGATCTCAGACAATTATCTCTAGCATATACTGCACTAAATGTTAGTAACACTCAGGGGTTGATTTACTAAAGGCAAATAGGCTGTGCACTTTGCAAGTGCGGTTGCTCTAGAGCTTAGTAAGTGAGGTGAAACTCTACTGACTTTAATCATCCAATCATGTGCAAGCAAAAGTGCTGTTTTTTTTTTTTACTTTCCTTGCATGTGATTGGGTATTCTTTGTAAAGTGAAGCTTTACCGCATTTACTAAGTTCTTTAGCAACTGCACTTGTAAAGTGAACCTGCATTTCCAAAGTGCAGTGTTTATTTGCCTTTAGTAAATCAACCACTCAGTTCACCGTCCATCCCTGTCCAGCTGCAGCAGCCTTCAGCCTCTCAGAGTTTTACAGGCTGCCTGGAACAAGGCTGGACAGTGCACCTAGGCCTTCCGCCCATACAAATACGCCAGAATCTCATGCACAAAGGCTAAACGCCAGTGTGCATGGGGCCTTACAGCTGATTTTTAGCAACAGCATAGTATAAAATTGTCAGTGTTTGCTAAAGCATAAAAAAAAATGCTGCATTGCAGTTAGTTGCAGAGAATTACAATGTAACAATTTGTTTCACAATAAACCGCTGAAAAAAATGTTAAAGTGTGAAAAACCCCCAGTTTATTTACTGCAGCAACAAATGTGTGTAAATTAAACTAGTGGTTCTCAATCTTAGTGAGACCCCAGTACTTGGTCAAATTCTTTCAAATCCTTCCATGATACAACAATAAAAAAAGGGTTGATACACAATAAAAGAAAGCAACATGCATATTTAAAGGATAAGTTTACCTTTAACCACTTCTAGACCACCCTATAGCAGAACTACTGCTACAGAGTAGCAGGGCTGCTCAAAATCACTTATATATGCCATTCCAATCATTGGAAAACATGCCACGTTTTCAGGTGCCATGCGGCTGTATGGGTCAGGGACTTTTACCTATGGGAAACACAGGTACAACAGCCTATTCAAAAGAACTGGCTGCTGTGCCCGTGCACATACAGTGCCTTGAAAAAGTATTCATACCCCTTGAAATTTTCCACATTTTCTCATGTTACAACCAAAAACGTAAATGTATTTTATTGGCATTTTATGTAATAGACCAACACAAAGTGGCACATAATTGTGAAGTGGAAGGAAAATGATAAATGGTTTTAAAAATTGCTTAAAAATAAATACCTGAAAAGTGTGGCGTGCATTTGTATTCAGCCCCCTTTACTTTGATACCCCTAACTAAAATCTAGTGGAACCAATTGCCTTCCAAAGTCGCTTTATTAGTAAAAAAAGTCCACCCGTGTGTAATTTAATCTCAGTGTAAATACAGCTGTTCTGTGAAGCCCTCAGAAGTTTGTTAGAGAACATTGGTGAACAAACAGCATTATGAAGGCCAAGAAACACAACATACAGGTCAGGGACAAATGCACGCCACACTTTTCACAGATTTTTTTGTAAAAAAAAGTTTGAAAACCATTTATCATTTTCCTTCCACTTCACAATTATGTGCCGCTTTGTGTTGGTCTATCACATGAAATCCCAATGAAATACATTTAAGTTTTTGGTTGTAACATGAGAAAATGTGGAAAATTTCAAGGGGTATGAATACTTTTTCAAGGTACTGTAGATGTGAACCTAGACTAATATCTTTCTGCAATAATCCCCAATCCCCAAACCAGCACCATAAATGTAAAGTGGTATTAAACCTGAAAACAAAAATGTAATAGGTTGCAGTTTACAATGTTACAAAAATCAAATGTGATTGCTTCATTCATTTTCTTTTTTTACAGAAAGGAAAATGAATGCACCCACTAAATTTGGGGATTTGGTAAACTGCAATATATTATGTTTTCTTTTTCTTATAGCAGACTCTCCCTCAGGGGCGGACTGACAACTCATGGGGCCCCTGGGCAATAGGGGATCATGGGGCCCCTGTGTCCTTGCCCAAACTCAAAAAAGCCTATGAAAAGGGTACCAGGGGCATCTCATGGGGCCCCCTACTGACCCCGGGCCCTTGGGCAGTGCCCAAGTTTCCAAATGGTCAGTCCGCCCCTGCTCCCCCTTCACTCCTTCTTGTCTTTCAGTGCTTCACTCCTAAGCATCTCCCTGGCCTACCCTTTACAACTTTCTTGCTGCTGTTTTAATATGCCAGCAACTACAGGAATGCTTCTGTGCAGGCTGCTGCTGGGAGAGGGGGCAGCATTACATAAATCTGCCGCTGGGTCCTGATCTCTAGCACATGCAGTGAAGCCTCTGAGGCAAAGTATCTATCAGCATGCATAAACAAGCTGGAAATCCACTGCTTGGAAGCAGGAAGGCCAGAAGCCAGCAATTGTGAAACACTAGTCTAAATAATCTACAGTGTTAAAGGTAGCAAAGGTATTATTGAAATGATAACTTCATTTGGCTAATAAATAATTACTATATTGCAACCTTTCATAGTAATTAAGATTGAATATGCCTCATAATGGATTGTCAGTGTTCAGAAACATTTACTTGTAGGTATTTTTAGTTATCCACTAAAAGCAATGAATTTGACAACATTTTTGCTTAATAAGTCCCAGATACGGTGGTGAGGATTTATGTGGGAATGATATTTGTAAATCTTAGGCTCCTTGCACACTGGGCGTTTTAATAACACTGGTAACATTAGCTGTGTAAAGACACATTAAAAATGCAAGTTTTTCAGCGTTTTTTTTTTTTAGCGGTTTTGTATTAGCGTTTTGCTGCATTTTTTCGTGTTTGCGGTTTTTAGTTTTGTTTGAGCAGAACAAAAAGTTTTTTGGTTAAAAAAATGTCCAAAAACGCTGGTTTGCCGTGATTTTACCACGTTTTTCCATGTTTTTCAGTATTAGAGCATTTTTACAGCTAAAATATTTCTCTAGAAACCCACTATTTCTGGGTTTTTTTTCCAGTCAAAAAACGCCCCTGCCAAAAAATGATGATTACAGTCTATGTGTGAATGGACACATAGGATAACATGCTGGGGAGTTTACTAGCTGTAGAAAAAACCGTCAAAAGCCAAAAACAGCAGCTGTAAAAATGTCCAGTGTGCATGAGGACTTAGGTGATGGAATGAAATATGAAGTAACATGTGCATTCCAAAACATTTTATGTTTCCAGGCACTGAGTTAACCTTTAATTATAACCTTGACTGTCTGGGAAACGGTCGAACGGAGTGTCATTGTGGTGCAGATAACTGCAGTGGTTTCTTGGGGGTACGACCAAAAGTAAGTGTGTCTCTCATTCTTTCAGTTATTCCACTTCATATTTTTTTGTTGATTATAAAATGTTAGATACTTACTATGGAATTCAAGCTAAGCAGGAGCTGGTAAGAAACTTTCTAGAAGTCTTAAGCAAGTCAAGTTGCACTACATTATTATTATTATTATTATTATTATACAGGATTTATATAGCGCCAACAGTTTGCTCAGCGCTTTACAATATAACGGGAGACAATACAGCGACCATACAGTTCAACACAAGAGGGATAGGAGGGCCCTGCTCCTTGGAGCTTACAATCTAGGACTACATAGACCGATTAGTCATACAAATCTAGTTTGCAAGATACTTGTATTTTTTTTATGTGACTATAAAAGCAACAAGGTGTGCAGTTCTGGTATTCACTGAGCTGCAGATGGATCTAGCCATACATAATAAAGCCAGTCAGGTTGCCCATGCATGTGTGCCATAAGTAAAGACACAGACCAGCAAATAGTTTGGCATCTCAGCATGTTTAGGGTTCTAGGAACTGCTAACATCAATTCCATAAAACAACAAATAAAGGAGCGCTCCCAACCCTGTGGAAGTCAATAGAGTCACAATACCAGGAATAGTTAAAAACGAAAATTCACTTTAATGTTGGGTTAAAAAGCATGACATGTAGGAGTGCCAAGATTGATACATCACCAAGCCAGTGGAGAGGAGAAACACATATTCCCAGAAGCTGGAGGATGACACATGATCCCGGACACAACAGTAGGTTGCTCAGCCCAGGAGCCTCAGAACAGTGTAGAGATGTTTAATTCCTATCGCCTGGGACATGCAGTTCTGGGCTTCAGACAAGAAGTTTTGTTCTACATTTAGCCCTCCTGTGGGCTACTCTGGCACTGGCAGAACTGTAGACAGAGAAGCCTGGCTTCTAGTCCGGCAGCACAAAACCCTCACTGCTCGGCACATGACAGCAGAGGAGAGGGTGGAGGAATGGTGTTTTTATTCAGTGAGGTTGACGTTCTGATCTCCTAACGTATCGTATTACAGCCTGTCCTAGCCCCACACTAATAATCCTCCGCAATGAAAAGCCAGCAAGGTGAGTTTTGCTTTTCTTTCCACAAGAAGTGCATACATACTTTCCTGACTTCTTCCTATTGGCTGTCAGTCCCAGGGCACTGAGCCCCCTCCAGTCCCCCAGCATACTGCTCAGAGCTCTGATCCTCTGCTGTACCCCACCTGTAATGGACATCTCCTGGAATCTTCCTAACCAAGTGCACTGTGGTATGGGACACTCAGCATGTGCAGTACAATCACATAGGGCACACTACGCTCACCCCCCACCCCACTTATCCCCAATGTCCCCCCCCCCACTAATCCCCAATGTCCCCCTCTGCTCCACTTATTCCTAATGTCCCCCCCTCTCCTCCCCCCCCCACTTATCTAAAACGTCCCCCCTCTCCTCCACATATCCCCAATGTTTCTCCTCTCCCTTCACTAATCCCCAAAGTCCCCCTCTCGTCCCCACTTATCCCCAATACTCCTCCTCTCTCCCCACTTATTCCCAGTGTCCCCCCCTCTTTTCCCACTTATCCACAGGGTCCCCTCTCTTCTCCCACTTATTCCTAATGTCCCCACTCTCCCCACCACTTATTCCCAATGCCCCTCTCCCCCCCACCCCCCACACGTATCCCAAATGTCCCCTTCTTCCCCACTTATCTCCAATTTTCCTCCTCTCCCTCCACTAATCCCCAGTGTTCCTCCTCTCCCTCCACTTATCCCTAATGCCCCCCCCCCCCTTCCCCCACTTATCCCTAATGCCATGTTATCATGATAACCAGCTTCTCTCCTTTGGTTTCACATGGTTTGAGTGGTCCCCTAGGCTTCCAATTTGCCCTCACCAGCTCTTGTTTGAGTGGCCAGGTGTATGACATAACAACCAGATTTGGGACACGTAACGTCCAGTGGATGTGCCATCTCAGTGATCCCAGTGGCTGCCACCTACACACCCTTCCCGCTGTCCTGAGGCTCCTGGACTAAGCAACCTACTGTTGGGTCCGGAATCATTTGTCATCCTCCAGCTTCTGGGAATATGTGTTTCACCTCACAACTGGCTTGGTGATGTATCAATCTTGGCACTCCTACATGTCATGCTTTTTAACCCAACATTAAAGTGAATTTCGCTTTTAACTATTCCTGGTCTTGTGACTCTATTGACTTCCACAGGGTTGAGAGCACTCCTGTGTTGTTGGAGTTGCCCATACTGTGGTTATGTACTTATCCCCTGTAACCTCATTGCACTTGGTATTTGCACCTTTTTTTATCCAGGTCCTTTAATTGGAACAGGGTTATCCATTTAGCATTTAGCTGATGCAGATACTGAGGGTTGAGTGACTCTTGTGTGTTTTGTTGTACCTCTGATGTTTACACAGAATGCAGTGACTTGAACCACTAGCCTACAGGGTACTTATACCCCCTTCCTGCCCAGGCCAATTTCCAGCTTTCAGCGCTCTCACACTTTGAATGAAAATTGCACGGTCATACAACATTGTACCCATATAAACTTTTTATCATTTTTTTGTGACAGATAGAGCTTTATTTTGGTGGTATTTAACCACTTGCCTACCAGGCACTTATACCCCCTTCCTTACCAGGCCAATTTTCAGCTTTCAGCGCTGCCGCACTTTGATTGACAATTGCGCGGTCATGCAACATTGTACCCATATGAAATTTTGATCATTTTTTTCTCACAAATAGAGCTTTCTTTAGGTGGTATTTACTCCCCGCTGGGCGCTTTACTTTTTGCGCTATAAATAAAAAAAGTGCAAAAAATTTGAAAAAAAAAAAAAATATTTCTTTGTTTCTATTATAAAATTTTTCAAACAGGTATTTTTTCTCCTTCACTGATGTGCGTTGATGAGGCAGCACTGATGGGCACTGATAGGCGGCACTGATGGGCACTGATAGGCAGCACTAAAGGGCACTGATAGGCAGTACTAATGAGGTGGCACGGATAGGCGGCACTGATAGACAGCACTAATGAGGTGTCACGGATAGGCGGCATTAATATGCAGCACTGATAGGCGGCACTGATAGGTGACACTGATGATGGGTACTGATAGACGGCACTGACTGGCATCACTGCTGGGCACTGACTGGCGGCACTGACTGGCACAACCCCTGGGCACTGACTGGTGGCACTGACTGGCAGCACTGCTGGCCTGCACTGGTGGGTGGCACTGGTGGGCAGCACTGGTGGGTGGGCACAGGTGGGTGGCACTTCTGGGCACAGGTAGGTGGCACTTCTGGGCACAGGTGTGTGACACTGCAGAGTGGCACAGGTGGGTGCACTGCTGGGCACAGGTGGGTGTACTGCTGGGCACAGGTGGGTGATCTGCTGGGCACAGGTGGGCGGAGCTAGTGGGCGCACTGCTGGGCACAGGTGGGCAGAACTTGCGGGTGGCACTGCTGGGCACCGATCATCAGGGTGCCGATCCCCGCTGTGACAACTGCCGGTTCTCGGCAGTACTTTCCTCACGATCTGACAGCGTGAGGAAAGTGCAGCCGAGAACCGGCACTTGCATTTCCCTGTGATCAGCGTGTCATTGGACACCGCTGATCACGTGGTAAAAGGCCGGCCTTTTACCACATCACGTGATCAGCTGTGTCCGTAGGACACAGCGATCACGGAGGTCGCCGGGTGCGCGCCCCCTGGGGCGCGCAGGAGAGCGCGTTCTGGGGGGACGTCATATGACGTCCACCCAGAAATGGCCGGCTGCAGTGAAGCCGTCATTCGGCTATCTGCGGTCAGCAACTAGTTAATCACCTCTGGGTTTTTTATTTTTTCTTAAACAAACCAAAAACCACTGAAAATTTTGAAAATTTTTCTTAGTTTTTGTTATAAAAGTGACAGGCACTGTTAGGCGGCACTGATGCACACTGATAGGCAGCACTGACTGGCACTGATAGGCAGCACTGATAGGTGGCACTGATTGGCAGCACTGATAGGTGGCACTGACTGGCACTGATGGGTGACACTGAAAGGCAGCTTAGATGGGCACTGATATGTGGCATTCATGTGCACTGGTAGGCACTGATATGGCACTGATGGGCACTGGCACGAGGCACTGATTAGCACTGACACAAGGCACTGACAGGTGGCACTGCTGGGGCTACACTGATCATCAGGGCACACTGATCATCAGTGCCCTGATGATCAGTGTAGATGTCCGCGGAAAGCCGATTACCGGCTCTCCTCTCCTCTTGAGAGGAGAGCCGGCATTTCACTGTTTACAGCTGATCACATGTAAACAGGGAAATGCCGGTTATCGGCATTTCAGCTCGAGAGGAGAGAAATGCCGATAACCAGCATTTCCCTGTTTACATGTGATCAGCTGTGATTGGACACAGCTGATCACATGACCGAGCCGACATCTTCGGCTCTTTCCGTGATCGGTGACTCGCTGTGTCCGAGAGACACAGCGCACCACTGATCGCCGCGATGTGCAATCCCTGAGCCGCGCATGCGCAGTGAGAATGGAAGGACGTCATCTGACGTCCTCCCAGAACGAAAGAACCACCTTGCGCCTGTCATATTACTATATGGCGGGCGGTGGTTAAAATGTAGTGCATTACTCATGTATTGTGCACCCCCGTACATATCTTTGCTTCAGTGTCTTCCTTCCAGCAAGATATCATCCACAAAACCTCTGAGCTTCTTGCCAAAATCTTCTGAACTGGGGCTGCACATGAATAGTACACGCTCCATTCAATCCTATGGAGAATTCCTACTCCACTAGAGCATGGAGCTCAAAATCTTCATAGCATTGACTGGAGGTACTGTGAAGACGATTTAACTAATAGCTTGGTGGCTTCATGGGTGATATCTTCTGGATCACGGACAGGTGAGGAAAAACTGTCAGGAAGGCGATTGTTCTGGACATTAATACTGAAAATTTATAGATAGGCAACTCCTATCGTCATATTGATTAGTAGTTCCAAATAATAATAACTACTGCAGCAGGTAACAGACACAAAAAGATACACTCAGCATATTTCTAGCTAACTGTTTTCTCTTTATTCAGCACATTTGAAGTTTTTTCATACACATGATTACTTAGGTATTATTATTATACAGGATTTATATAGCACCAACAGTTTTCGCAGTGCTTTACAATGTGAGGGCAAACAGTACAGTTACAATACAATTGAATACAGGAGGAATCAGAGAGCCCTGCTTGTTAGTGCTTACAATCTAAAAGGGGAGGGACAAGCGATACAAAAGGTATTAACTGTGGGGGATGAGCCAATGAAGAAAATACATGTACAGTTGTTAGGTGGAGGCAGGATATGCTTCTCTGAAGAGAAACATTTTCAGGGATCACCTAAAACAGAGTAGGAGATAGTCGGACAGATTGGGTTAGGGAATTCCATAGGATGGGTGTGGCTTGGGAAAAGTCCTGCAGGCAGGCATGGGAGAAAATGACAAGGGAACTAGAAAGCAGGAGGTCTTGTGAGGAACGAAGGGAGTGATTTGGTTGGTATTTTTAGACTAGGTTAGTGATGTAGCTGGGGGCCGAGCTGTAGATGGCTTTGTAAATTATTGTAAGTATTTTGAATTTAATTTGTTGGAGAGAATGGCAGAGAGGGGTAGTAGAAACTGAACAGCTGGTAAGGTGGATGAGTCTGGCAGCAGCATTCTTGATGGACTGGAGGGGGAATAGCCTATGTAAAGGTAAGTCAATGAGGAGGGAGTTGCAGTAGTCTAGGTGAGAGATAACCTGGGATTGAATAAGAAGCTTTGTGGTGTCATTTTTTAGGAAGGGGCATATTTTGAAGATGTTGCTGAGATTGAGACGGCAAGCTTTGAAAGGTGATTGGATGTGGGGCCGAAAGGAGAGTTCAGAGTCCATAATTACACCTAGCACCCTGGCATGCGGGGCTGGGTTGATGGTTGTGCCAATGATCTTGACAGAGAAGTAAGGGGAGGGGGCACGTGGGGGAAGAAATATTAGGAGCTCAGTTTTGGATAGATTGAGGTTGAGGAAGTGGTGTGACATCCAGGCTGACATGTCAGTCAGTAAATTAGTGATACGTGAGGAGACTTGTTGTGAGCTGAGGGGTAGAGATAGATGTGGGTGTCGTCAGCGTAGAAATGATATTGAAAGCCATGGGAGTCTACCAGCTGACCCAGGGAGGAGGTTGTAGATTGAGAATAGGAGAGGTCCAAGAACAGAACCTTGGGGGACCCTAACTGAAGAAGCGAGAGGAGAGGAGGAAGTAGAATTGTAAGTGACACTGAAGGTGTGGTGGGATAAGTTGGATGAGAACCAACAAAGAGCACAGTTACGGATACCAAGGGAGTAAAGTTTTTTGAGGAGAATGGGGTGGTCAACCGTATCAAGGGCAGTTGAGAGGTCCAGAAGTGGGAGTACAGAATAGTGCCAATTGGTTTTTGCTGTTAGTAAATTGTTTGTGAGGAGAGCAGTTTCTGTGGAGTGTTGAAGGCGAAACCCAGACTGAAGGGGATCAAGAAGGTTATTCTTGATGAGGTGATCACTCAGTTGGTTAAAGACCAGGCGTTCAAAGAGTTGGAGGAATCGGGGAGCAAGGAGATAAGGCCTAGGTTGCTAAGATTGGTGGGGTCCAAGGAAGGCTTTTTAAGTATGTAGGTGACTAGTGGATGGTTTAGGGTGTTGGGAAAGGTGCCAGAATAGAGGGAGAGATTGACGATGTGTGTTAGATAGAGCCAGAGGGTGACCGCAGTATTTAAGAGGGAATAGGGGTATCAAATTAATATTACAATTGTACTTTTATGGTAACAAGAGTTGTTACATAGGCAGACTAATTTCTAATCAGGACTTGAAAGAATGCAAATGTAATGAAAACATTATTAGTGCCATGTGCACAACGAGTGCAGTGTACAATACATAGGCAAAGTATACAAAATAGAATATAATTTTATATAGAATTTACAAATTTCCTTTACATGATACAATATGAGTGCAACTGCACTAAAGGTTCAGTTATCTTTCAAGGTAATGGTAAACATTACCTTGGAATGGTAACATTCCCTACCTGCTCCTTGTTTTTCACATGCATAAGATGTGCTTTTAATATGTAGTTTAATGGTGTCATTTGTTGTCCTGTACACAAATTCTATTATAGTTCAAATCTTCACATTACCGTGTCATCGTTTTTTTTTTTGTGGCATGGCTCTGCACAGGTTAATGCATGTCTGTCTGTAATATGAGATCAGACACTTCCTGTGAAGAAGCTACATGTCGCACAATCCCTGGGTCTCACGGTCCAGTGGGCTTGCAGGTGATAACTACATAGTAATTAGGTCTGGCACAGACACAAGCAGGCAGAGCATTCACAGACACATAGAGAACTCAATCTCACTCATGCAGTTGGGAGATTATGTATTTTATCACAATAGCAAATCATAATATTCCCGAAGCACACGTTCATGGATATGGCTGTAAGGTTTAGCTGGTACTACAGTGATCACAGGCTGGGAACCTAGTACACTTGATGTAAAGAAATGTCATGAGCACACCAAGGATTCCTCAGACAGGTCCAAAGTTTTATTCCATGGTCACATAGTGTAAAAAAGGCAACGTTTCGGAGTCACGCAGGGCCTCTTCGTCAGGTAAGTGACCAACACTTATCACATTAGCACTCCCACATTTGTGATGCAACACAGAGAGGATGGATTTGATGCTGTGTGATCCGGAACAGGAGGTTGTCCTGTTCCCTTGGTGCATGAGGGGCAAGCTGGCTGCAGCAATACATGGACATAGGGGAATCGATCAGCTATAACACTACAAACTGCAGCCACAACATGTGAGCCCATCATTACAAGGTAAAGCAAACAAACAACACAGGAAATATAACTACACTAATACCTAGTAGTAAAAAAACAACAAACAAACAAACAAACAAACCTCTCTCAGATATTAAAAAAGCAGACATCACAATTCTAAATCAGAATGTACTAGTGCTACCTCTCTATTGTCTTTAGTACATTGTTATAATCTATAAAGTATTGTGTTTCTTCATTCTGCAGACAGCTTGTGCTACAGCAACAGAAGAAAAGGCCAAAAATGCCCGCTTGAAAGCAAAGAAACGCAAAATCAAAACTGAGCAGAAACAGATGCATGAAGATTTCTGTTTCCGCTGTGGTGATGGAGGGGAGCTGGTGATGTGTGATAAGAGAGACTGTCCTAAAGCTTATCACCTCCTCTGCCTTAACCTGACACAGCCTCCCTACGGTGAGCCTTGGTATTTAGAAATATGTAATATTTGTGCTTGTATATATACACTGATCAGCCAGAGCATTATGACCACTGACAGGTAAAATAAATAACATAGATTATCTCGTTACAATGGCATCTGAAAGTGGGTGGGATATATTAGGCAGCAAGTAACTATGTTGTTGCTGAAGTTGATGTGTTGGAAGCAAAAAAAATGGGCAAGTGTAAGCATTTGAGCAATTTTGACAAGGGTCACATTGTAATGGCTAGTTGACTGGATCAGGGCAACTTAAAAACTGCAATTCATGTGGGAAGTTTCCGGTCTGCAGTGGTCAGGACCTATTAAAAGTTGTCCAAGGATGGAAAACTGAAAAACTGGCAACAGGTTCATGGGCGTCAAGGCTCATTGATCCACATGGGGACCAAAGACTGGCCTGTGTAGTCTAGTCCAATAGAAGAGCTACTGTAGCTCAAATTGTTGAAAAAATTAATGCTGGTTCCAATAGAAAGGTGTCAGAACACACATTGCATCACAGTTTGTTGTGTATGGGGCTGCATAGCCGCATACCTGTCATGGTGCCCATGCTCACCTGTGTCCACAGCCAAAATTTCCCTCTAATGGGCACGTGATCAAAACGGGACCACAGAGGTACAGAAGAAGGTATCTTCATGGTGTTGACTTGATCTCCAAAATCTCCAGATCTCAATCCAATCTGGAGGAATGTGCTGGGAAAACAAGTCAGATTGATAGAGGCCCCACCTTGCAACTTACAAGTTGTATATCCTCCTGTGTTTCCCAGTTACTGAGTGTATGTGTTCTTACCCTTACCTAATATTAGGTTGTGTATGTCATGCTCTGTTTACTCTTCCTGGGTGTATTCTCCTGTATTTCTAATCACTGGGTGTATGTGTGTCTTCATCATGCATTGCTAGAATGCAGAACTACACAAACATAATTTCAGTATATATATTAACCACTTGGCCTCCAGAGGATTTACCCCCCTTCCTGACCAGGGCATTTTTTGTGATACGTTGTTACATTAACTTAACTGACAATTGCGCGGTGATGCAACGCTGCACCCAAATGAAATTTATGTCCTTTTTTTCCCCACAAATGGAGCTTTCTTTCAGTGGTATTTGATCGCCTCTGTGGTTTTTATTTTTTGCGCTATAAACAAAAAAAGACTGACGATTTTGAAAAAAAAAAATATTTTGGACTTTTTTCTATAAAAAATATCCATTAAAAAAATTTTAAAAATCACATTTCGGCATAAATTTAGGCCAATATGTATTCTGCTACATGTCTTTGTTAAAAATAAATCCCAATACGTGTAAATTAATTGGTTTACGTGAAAGTTATAGCGACTACAAATGGCGGTATATATATACTGGAATTTTTTTTCTTTATATATACTAGTAATGGCGGCGGTGATTAGCGACCTATAGTGGGACTGCAGGACTGCGGCGGGCATTCTGATACTGGAGGGTAACTGACTGACATTGACATCCCCAGTAACACTAATACAGTGATCAGTGCTAATAAAAAGCACGGATACTGTACTAATGACACTGGGCAGGAAGGGGTTAAAATCTGGGGCGATCAAGAGGTTAACTGTGTGCTGTGTGTTTCATATTGTGTGCTGTGTGCGGTGTTTTACTGTGTAAGCATGCTGTTTTGTATTGCTCTGCTGGTTCTGACAGGGGAGAGATCTGTATTGTTTACATACAGACCACTCCCCTGTCAATGTTCCTCTGCATTCGCTGGGTGCTGGCGGGGAACCTCTGGCAGGGACCCGGTGATCGACAGCTGTAGCCGCCAATGGCGGCGTGGGTAGGAAATAAAAAATCACATAGATATATATATATTTGATTTTGCGCAGCCCTGCCGCCGCCCTGTAGCAGTAGTTCTGCTATAGGACGGTCGGGAAGTGGTCAAACATCTATTTTTTGTGGGAAAACTCTGTTTTAATAACTTCAGCTCTCACTCCTGTATACACCCCCTCAGGAGTAGGAAAAAATTGCATTTCTGATATGAGCCTATTTCTTTGGCAATCCATTTGTCATTACTTAAAGAATAACTCCATCTTTTTATCACCAAGAACAGTGTACACCTAACAGTGGTTACCGCTCCCCCTACCAACATAGATAAAATAAAAAAGTTGGCTATACACCAGTTGGAAAGAGCACACAGATGGCACAAACACCCAGTGCATTATCCAAGGTTTATTAAAACTTCCTTCAGCTCTGAGGAAAGGGACATGTCCCCAAAACGCGTCATGGCTGACCGCACCACCAGACGGACACTCTGCCATCATTTTGGGCCATCCCTGTGGCTTTACAGGCTTTTTTTTGTGAGCATGTTTTTTATCTTTTTAACCACTTACCCTCCAGAGGATTTCCCCCCCTTCCTGACCAGGACATTTTTTGTGTTACGGCGCTGCGTTACTTTAACTGACAATTGTGCGGTCATGCAACACTGCACCCAAATGAAATGTGTGTCTTTTTTTCCCAGGAATTGAGCTTTCTTTTGGTGCGGTTTTAATTTTATGCGCTATAACAAAAAAAAAAAGACCAACAATTTTGAGAAAAAAAAACAATATTTTTGACTTTTGCTATTAAATTTGTCCAGTAAAAAAGAAAAAAATCTAATTTCGTCATAAGTTTAGGCCAAAATGTATTCTGCGACATGTCTTTGCTAAAAAAAAAAATCCCAATATGTGTAAATTAATTGGTTTACATGAAAGTTATAGCATTTACAAATAGCGATATAGATACCGGGACTGCGGCGGACATTCTGACACTGGGGTGTAGAGTCTACAAATGGTGGTATATATATACTGGAATTTTTTTTTATACCAATAATGGCGGCAGTCAGCGACTTACAGTGGGACTGCCGAACTGTGGCGGGCATTCTGACACTGGGAAAGAACTGGCTTGGTGTCACTGACATCCCCAGTGATACCAATACAGTGATCAGTGCTAAAAAAAAGCATTGATACCGTACTAATGGCACAGGGGAGGAAGGTGTTAACATGAGGGGCGATCAAAGGGTTAACTGTGTGCTCGGAGTGTTTTAGTGGGGGGGCGGTGTGTTGGTGCTTCACTGTGCCCGAGTCGACAAGGAGGAGGACTGCTAGGAAACAAAGCAGCCCTCCTCCCTGTCGGAGATCCTCGGTAATCACCAGGCGCCGGCGGGTAATCACCGGCCGGGACCTGGTGATCGACAGCCACGGCCGCGAATGGTGGCGGGGGTATAGCGCACGTGTGCTTCGAACTAGAACTGCAAAATCATGTATATATACGTGATTTTGCACACCCCTGCTGCCCTGTAGAAGTATATCTGTGTCAGGGCAGGAGCTGAGGAACGGACAGGCAGGCCTAACAATGTAACGCACTGGCTGACGACAACCACCACCCACAGACCGAAGTCCCTCAGGGCGCGGAGTCTAAGTCCCAGGCTGCCCTTCACCAGGGCCCCTGATGGTGGGGATGGACTTGACACAGCCAGGAACCAGGTCGCGGCCCCCGAGACACCTCAGCTGCGGTAATGGCCGCCGCCAATGGCGTGTAGCTGGTGGAAGAGACAAAAGAGTAGTCAGACAAGCCGGGGTCAACAACAACAGGACAAAACAGTACAGGACAGCAGACGAGAATCACAGGACACGAGCCGGGTTCAGCAACAGAGGGTCAGATCAAAGGAGAATACAAAGAATAGTCAAGTCACAAGCCGAATAGATACCAGGAGAGTCACGAGAGTCAGAACAGAGTAATAGCAACACAAAGACACAAGACACAAGTGCAAAGAGCATGTGCGGGCCACAGGTTTATATGTCATCAGCCACACCCCTCTGGGGGATGGACCACAGAAACCTGAAGGCATAAAAGGATTCCCATCATGCACAGCAGAATCCAAGATGGACGCCAGCACATGGAGTAACATAACCTCAGGGAAAAGGTAGGACCTTGACAGTACCTCCTCCTCAAGGGCCCCTCCCCCTCCGCGGCTCAACAAAAGGTTTCTGAGGAAAGCGGGTATGAAAAGCGCGGAGGAGGGCAGGAGCATGGACATCCGCGGAAGGAACCCAGGAACGCTCCTCGGGACCATAACCACGCCAATGAACCAGGAACTGTAATCGACCGCGCACCAATCGAGAGTCCAGGATCTGGCTCACCTCATACTCCTCATGACCGTCAACCCGGACAGGACGAGGCAGAGGAAGAGAGGTAGTGAAGCGATTGCAGATCAGAGGTTTCAACAGAGAAACATGAAAGATATTGGAGATGCGCATCCCAGACGGAAGGGCAAGGGCATAGGCCACCGGATTCACTTTGCGGAGAATGCGGAAAGGACCGACAAAACGGGGGAGCTAGTTTGGGTGTGGGCACCCGAAGATTGAGGTTGCGAGTAGACAACCACACCCGATCGCCGACCTGGTATGAAGGAGCGGGCAACCGTCTGCGATCAGCCTGGAACTTCTGGCGCTGAGCTGAGTCCCTCAAGGCCCTCTGGATCTGCCCCCATGATGAACGCAGGACAGCAAGATGGTTCTCCACAGGCGGAATGTCCTGTGGTGAGAACCTCTCAGGTAATACCGCGGGTTGGAACCCATAGTTGGCCATGAAGGGAGACATCCCGGAGGAAGAGTTGACTGCCGAGTTCCTGGCAAACTCTGCCCACGGCAGGAGATCGGCCCAATCGTCCTGATGGTCTGAAATATAACACCGAAGGAATTGTTCTAAGGCCTGATTGGAACGCTCCGCAGCCCCATTGGACTGCGGGTGGTGGCTGAAAAAAGGTGGTAGGCTGAAGAAAAGGAGAGACTAATACCCAACTGGGAGCAGAAGGCGCGCCAGAATCTGGACACGAACTGACTCCCGCGGTCTGAGACAATCACCTTAGGTAACCCATGCAGGCGAAAAATCTCCCTGGAAAAGACCGTGGCCAGTTCTTGCGCTGTGGGTAATTTCCTGAGTGGAATGCAATGGCACATCTTGGAAAAACCGATCAACGATCATGA